GTTCCAGGGGGTAATTAACATAGGTGCTCTCCTGCTGATCAGAGCTCTTTGATTAATACAGAATGGAAAAAATTAGTACTTAATAAATGCAGTCTATTATGTAGACAGAATCCTTCAGAACTTGGAGTTCAAAGGGAAAGAAGTAGAAAAATTAGGCCAGTTGTATTTTCTACACCATTTTATGAAGTAGTAACAGATCCAGAGAGGTGAAGGGTTTGGCACAAAGTAGCGCAATGATTTAATACCAGAATGAGGACTTGAGCCAAGGTCTTGTAACTCCTGGAAGCCCAGGGGATTCCCCAGAGCCCTGGCTGGTCAGCTGCTCAGAGCCCCATAATTTGAGATGGACTTTGACCAATCAGGTGATCAGAGGCAGGTGACTACCTCAGATCTGGGAACCAGGTCATGTGAGGATTAGGTAAAGAGCTGCGGATAGTTGGCCTTGAACAGAGGCGACTCCGGGCTCACAGCCTAGGGCCTCCGATCTCTGCAAGGTTGTTCTGGGACAAGAGGATCAGACATTTTTATGAGGATCGAGAGAACAGAGCTGAAATCAGTGGGGAAAGCCACAGGGAGACGGATGTTGAGTCAATAAAGGTAGAACTTATTTAGAGTATACCTGAAACACTGCAGAGAGCAACTCCATCACTCTTGGCCGTATTTCACTCACAAATTTGTAATCCTTGGGTTTGTTTTGTCTTGTTTTTTAAAAAAGCACCTCTATCCATGGAAGGTAATCAGGAAAAGGCTAAATATGGGATTCAGCTAAGGGGATTCTTGTATTGAAGAGAAGGTTGAAGTCTTAATGCCTTAAATGCCTTAAATGAAAGCTTAAATAACAAAGAATCCCCCCTATAAAACATGCACAAAATAACCTGTTAGAACTAGGTGTGTTTGGGCCAGGCACAGTGGCTCACACCTGTAATCCCAGCACTTTGGGAGGCCAAGGTGGACGGATCATGAAGTCAGTAGATCAAGACCATCCTGGCTAACATGGTGAAACCCCATATCTACTAAAAATACAACAAAATTAGCCGGGCGTGGTGGCGGGTGCCTGTAATCCCAGCTACTAGGGAGGCTGAGGCAGGAGAACGGCATGAACCCCGGAGGCGGAGCTTGCCGTAAGCGGAGATTGTGCCACTGCACTCCAGCCTGGGTGACAGAGCGAGACTCCATATAAAAAAAAAAAAAAGAACTAAGTGTGTTTAGCAAGGTTACAGTAAAGTCAAAACCAGGCATCAATTGTATTTATATATACTACTAACAAAAAATTAGAAACCCAAACTAAAAACACAATAATACCATTTACAGTTACTCCAAAATAAATGAAATACTTAGGTAAAATTTAACAAAACATGTGCAGGGTCTGTATGTTAAAAACTACAATATCCCAGCACTTTGGGAGGCCAAGACCGGAGGATCACTTGAGCCCAGGAGTTTGAGACCATTCTGGGCAATATGACGAGACTCCTGTCTCTACCAAAAAAAAAAAAAAAGCAGGTCATGGTGGCGTGTGCCTGTAGTCCCAGCTACTGGAAGGCTGAGATGGGAGGGTCGCTTGAGCCCAGGAGGCGGAGGCTGCAGTGAGCCAAGATCACACCACTGCACTCCAGTCTGGGTGACAGAGCAAGACTCTGTCTCAAAAAAAGAGAAAGCTACAAAATGCTTAGCTAGGCATGATGGCATGTGGCTGAGGTGGGAGGATCCCTTGACCCCAAAAGTTCAAGGCTCACTTGTAAGCTATGATCATGTCACTGTACTCCAACCTGAGCAACAGACGGAGACCCCCATCTCTAAAAATAACCAACCATACAAAAAACTACAAAATGCTGATGAAGGAAATCAAAGAACACCTAAAATGGAGAGATACACTATGTTCATGAATTGCAAAACTCAACATAGTAAACATAAAAATTGCAACCCGCCCTTTTTATTGAGACAGGGCCTTGCTCTGTTACCCAGGCTGGAGTGCAGTGGCATAATCTAGCCTCAACTTCCTGGGCTTAAGTGACCCTCCCACCTCAGCCTCCCAAGGAGCTCAATGGAAAAGAATTCACAGAAAAATAAACAGAAAATTAGGCCAGTCATATTTTCTATTCCATTTTATGAAGTAGTAACTGAGATCCAGAGAAGAGAAGGGTTTGACACAAAGTAGCACAATGTTTAATACCAGAATGAGGACTTGCGCCAAGGTCTTGTAACTTCTGGAAGCCCCTAGGGTTCCCCTGAGGCTTGGCTGGCAGCTGCTCAGACCCCCATAATTGGAGAGGGACCACCACACCCTGTTAATTTTTTATTTTTTAGAGATGGGTTCTTGCCATGTTGTCCAGGCTGGTCTTGAACTCCTGGGCTCAGATAATTCTCCCTTCTTGGCTTTTCAAAGTACAGGGATTACAGGTGTGAGCTACTGTGCCTGGCCAAAATGGCAGCTTTTTTTGTTTGTTTAATAGATAAGCTAATTCTCAAATTTATATATAGAGAGACAAAGGAACTAGAATAGCTAAAGCAATACTGAAAAAGAATAATAAAGTTGGAGGAAATCACACTACCCAATTTTAAGACTTATTGTATAACAACAATGATAAACAGTAATGAGGTTAGTGTGGTATTGGATGAGGGAAGGACACATGCATAGATCAAAATATGGTCCAGAAGTAGACTGACGTCATAAGGTTGTCCAACAGATTTTTGACAAAGGTGCAAAACCAATTCAACTGGGGAAGAATAATCTTTTCAATAAATGGTGTTAAAACAACTAAACTTCCATAAGTAAAAAATAAACCTTTACCTAGATCCCACACCTTGTACAAAACTTATCTCAAAAAAGATCTAAATGTAAACCAAAAAACTCTATAACACTTTTAGAACAAAACAGGGAAAAATCTTCATGACCTGCGGTTATGCAAAGAATTCTTAAACAAGACATCAAAAGCACAATACATTTTTAAAAAGATAAACCAGTATTCATCAAAGTTCAAAATTTTGATGCTGTGAAAGATCCTGTTAAGAGGATGAAAAGGCAAGCCTCAGACTGGAGAATATATTCACATATTTGACAAAGGACTTTTATCCAAAATATATAAGGATTGGTTGGGTGTGGTGGCTCACACCTGTAATCCCAGCACTTTGGGAGGCCCAGGTGGGCGGGTCACTTGAGGTCAGGAGTTCGAGACCAGCCTGGCTGACATGGTGAAACCCCGTCTCTACTAAAAATACAAGAAGAATTAGCCAGGTCTTGTAGCACAAGCCTGTAATCCCAGCTACTCAGGAGGCTGAGGCAGGAGATTCGCTTGAACCCAGGAAATGAATGTTGTGGTGAGGTGAGATCATGCCACTGCACTCCAGCCTAGATGACAGAGTGATACGTCTCAATAAATGAATAAATAAATAAATAAAACAAAATATATAAAGAACACCCTAAATTCAACATTAAGAAAGCAAACGATCCCATTAGAAAATGAGCGGAAGACTTGAACAGACACTTCATTAAAGAGGAACAGAGAACAATCTATGTTTTAAAATGTCCAGGCATAGTAGCTCAGGCCTGTAACCCCAGCAACTTGGGAAACCAAGGCAGGAGAATAGCTTGAGCCCAGGAGTTCAAGACCAGCCTGGGCAATATAATGAGACCCTGTGTCTAAAAAAAAAAAAAAAAAAAAAAGTTGGGTATGGTGCTACACACCTGTAGACCCAGCTACTCAGGAGGCTGAGGTGGGAAGATCACTTGAGCCCAGCAGGCCAAGGCTGTAGTGCGCCATGTTCTAGCCACTGCACTCCAGTCTTGGCAACAGAGCAAGACCCTATCTCAAAATAAAATAGTTTTTTTTAAAAGGGCATATAGGTGGCAAATAAGCACATGAAAATATGTTCAACTTCATTAATCATTAAGGAAGTGCAGATTAAAGCCACAATGAGATGCCATCTCAAGGAGCACAGGTAATGGAAAGAGATTGAAAGCTTTCAGAAAGAACAGTACGTAGATCACTTAGTACATAGATTTCTAAGATCACTTGATCTTAGAAAGATCTTAGATCTCTCTGGCTACAGCATGGAGGACGTGATGGAGGGGCCCCCACTGCAGGCTGTTCCAGGGGTCTGGGCAGAAGAAGATGAAAGCCTGACCTAAGGTGGTAGCCTTGAGGATGGAGAGAAATGGGTGGATACTGCAGATGGCTATTAGGTGGAACCAGCAGGACCTGGCTTTGTGAAAGGGCTGAGATAGAAGGTGTGAGAGATGACTCGAATTTTTGGCTTGAACACTTGATACAATTTTATCTAGAAAGATAGAAATGTTCAATTGTGTCAAATGCTCCTGATTAAAAAAAGAAAAAGGAAAAAAGAATCAGAGTCCTATAACTGGTAAAGTAAAATTTAAAATAAATAAATAATGTTAAATGTTTCTGATAAGTCAAGGGAGATGAGGATTTAGAAGTGACCCTGGGTTTAGTGACAAATAGTTTGAAGGTGTATAGTGGGGGCAGAACCAAGCAAGTTGCAGCTGAACAAGTTGTGAATGGAAGGTAGAGAATAATAAGGCCAAGTGGACTTCCTTTCAAGCTTTGATTTAAGAGGAAGAGAGAAGATAAGTCACTTGACAAAGAGAAGCATGGAATCTATTCTCAAAGTGAGAACAATCTATGTTTAAAAAATGTCCAGCACTCCTCTCCATACTAGCTGTGTGGTAATCCTGTGTTGTCATCTATAAAATGGATTTCTAATAGTACCTACCTCATAGGGTTATGGTGAAGGTCAAGTCTTCATAGCTCTTAACGATTGTTTCTTGTCTGTTTCCTCCACCAAACTACAAGTTCTTGAGCAACACTGACAGCTGTCAGTGCATGATGTGGTGTATTGTTAATAAATACATGTTAAACAAATGATACTTCTAAGGCTCTGACCACAATGCACTGCCCCAAGGTAAGCACCAGAGAAGTCAGCTGGGGGGTGTGATCCTGATGGGGAAGAAGAGAGCCCTACACCCTCAGTTTGCTATTTTCCAGGCCCTGAAGAGGTTTCTCCTGACTGCCAAGGTGTGAACACAGGCATGGCGGCAGAAGTGCCAAGAGTGAGCCCTCTCCGGCAGAGTTACCCCTGCTTGAACCCACAGCTGGAGAGCAATGAGGGGCAGGTTGTGAACTCCAAACGCCTCCTCCATCATTGCTTCATGGCCACAGTGACCACCAGTGACATTCCAGGCAGCCCTGAGGAAGCCTCTGTACCCAACCCTGACCCACGTGGACCAGTCCCATAAACATTCAATAAATGTCTCCACACCATCCCCTTCTGGAGTCTCTTCAGTGAAAGGTGGGAGTGGGAAGGGACTTTAGAGCCTAGCAGGATAAATGAGGGCTTTTCCTAGCAAAGATACCCAGCCCTGCTGTGGACCCTGCCATACTCCTCTGCTTGGCCTATTGTGGGCCAAGGAACTTTGACATGACTCCTAGAAAAAATGATCAGTAACAACTCCATGCAATGAGCTATGATCACGCCACTGCACTCCAGCCTGGGCAAGACCTCATCACAAAAAAGAAGAATGAGGCCGGGCGCGGTGGCTCAAGCCTGTAATCCCAGCACTTTGGGAGGCCGAGACGGGCGGATCACTAGGTTAGGAGATCGAGACCATCCTGGCTAACGTGAAACCCCGTCTCTACTAAAAAATACAAAAAACTAGCCGGGCGAGGTGGTGGGCGCCTGTAGTCCCAGCTACTCCGGAGGCTGAGGCAGGAGAATGGCCGTAAACCCGGGAGGCGGAGCTTGCAGTGAGCTGAGATCCGGCCACTGCATGAGTTCAAAAAAAAAAAAAAAAAAAAAAAAAAAAAAAAAAGAAAGAATGAATGAATGAATGGTTATCAGACTGAATACAGGCTCCAGAGCGTGGGCCCTGTCACTGTGTGGCCTTGATAAAGTCCCTTGTCTTCCTGAGCTTCAGTCCCCTTGCTGGGTTATTGCAAGTGTTCAGTGAGGTGATGGATTTGAACTCACTTCATAAACGTTAAAGTACTAGAAAACTTTTTTTCTTTTTGAGACGAGTCTTGCTCTGTTACTCTGTCACCAGGCTGGAGCGCAGTGGCATGATCTCAGCTCAATGCAACCTCCACCTTCTGGGTTCAAGTGATCCTCCCACCTCAGCCTCCCAAGTAGCGGGGACTACAGGTGTGTGCCAGCATGCCTGGCTAAGTTTTGTATTTTTAGTAGAAATGGGGTTTCACCATGTTGGCCAGGCTGGTCTTGAACTCCTGGCCTCAAGTGATCTGCCTGCCTTGGCCTCCCAAGTGCTGGGATTACAGATGTGAGCCACCACACCTGGCCTGCTACAAGACTTTTTAAATTACCAACGGATGATAACATAGTAATCCTGCTAAAAGACTTTTTAAATTACAAATGGACAATAGCAGTAAACTATGTAATACTGAAAAACTCTGGAGCTAAATGCCTGGTTAAAATCCTGCCCCTGTCACTTACTTGCTAGTTAACCTCTGTGCCTCAGTCCTCTCATCTATATAAGCTGGAATCATAGTAGTACCTTCCTCATAGAGCTTGGGGAAGGACTAAATTACTGAGTCCATGCAAGTACATAGAAAAGTGTTGGCAAATGGAAGGCACTATGTGTTAGCTATTATTATTATTATTAACATTTTTTATTATTAATCTGATCGCAAAGGAATCTTAGGGCAAGATGCTGACTGCCAGCCCTCCCTTCTGGCTGCTCTCCTAACTTTGGCAATGGCTTTTAGGCTTCATCTTGGGAATGCAAGACAAGGACTGTGGAGATGCAACTCAGCAGCCACCAAAAGCAGCTCTTGACATTTCAAACAGTGACATGACCTGCTGCTGGATTTGGCAACAGTGAAAGAGTCACTCTTAGATACCTGTGCCTGAGGCCAAGCCAAAGGGTACATGGTGGGGTGGCAAGACAGGGTGAGTCACCCACAGAAGTATTCTAGGCTGGAAGTCAAGAGATTTTGGTTCTGGTCTTGCTTCATTTGTTGTTGTTGATGGTGGTGGTGGTGGTGGTGGTATGTGTGTGTGTGCTCTTTTATTTCAGCACTCTTCTTTTAGTTTTTTTTTTGAGGCAGTCTCATTCTGTCACCCAGGCTGGAGTGCAGTGGAGACTAGCTCACTGCAGCCTCAAACTCCTGACACAAGCAATCCTTCTGCCTCAGCCTCCCAAGTAGCTGTGACTACAGGTGCGTGCCACTGTGTCCAGCTAATTTAAAAAATTTTTTTTATCGAGACAGGTGGTTGCTATGTTGCCTAGGCTGGTCTTGAATGTGTTGGGATTACAGGTGTGAGCCACTGCACCCAGTTTATTTTCAGCACTCAAAACCCAGCACCCTTGTCCATTTACTGTACACTTAGTGGTGTCCATTCTATTCTAGGACCTGTGCAGGTTGCCAGAAACAAGAGGAATCAGACAGTTCTCACCCTCAAGGGGCTCATGTGGAGGACAAGGCAGGCACACAAATGGCCAGGAGGCCCAGTGGTAGCCCTTCATGGGGCTTTAGGGAGGAAGAAATGATGTCTGAGCTGAATCATCAAAGATGACTCAAAGTTTCCAGGTGAGACAGGAACAGAAAACATTATGGTCAGAATACAGCTTGTTCACAACAGTGAGAGAGAGCCAGTGTGGCTCAGGAACTGCAAGGTACTTGTTATAGAAAGAGCTGGCCGAGCGCAGTGGCTCACGCCTGTAATTCCAGCACTTTGGGAGGCTGAGGCGGGTGGATCATGAGGTCAGGAGATCGAGACCATCCTGGCTAACACGGTGAAACCCCATCTCTACTAAAATAAATAAATAAATAATAAAAAATAAATAAATAAATTAGCCGGGCCTGGTGGCGGGCGCCTGTAGTCCCAGCTACTCAGGAGGCTGAGTCAGGAGAATGGTGTGAACCCAGGAGATGGAGCTTGCAGTGAGCCGAGATCACACCACTGCACTCCAGCCTGAGTGACAGAGTGAGACTCCATGAAAGAGAGAGAGAGAGAGAGAGAGAGAGAGAGAGAAAGAGAGAAAGCAAGCAAGCAAGCTAGCTTAGGGTACTTGTATATATGTAGTGGGGTGGGGCTGGGTGATATTGAGAGGTTTAGTCCCTGACGCTCTGTGCAACCGTTCACAGGATGAATCCCTTCTCTGTCCTTGGTATCCTTGGTGTCATCAGAAAAATCCACTGTTTCTCTGAACACTTTCTGTGCTGGGCCTTACAAGGGAGACTGGGAGGTTTCAGGGAAGAATCTGATAATACCCTGGCCTTTAGGCTGCTCGCAGTGAGAAGGGGGAGATGCTGTTTGCATTCCAAACACTCAAGTGGTCATCCGCAGCCTAAGGCAGTGGTTCTCAAATCCGAGGCTGCATCAGAATCAGCTAGGTGGAGGGCTTGTTAAAACACAAAATGCTGGCCTCCCACCCCAGTGTCTGACTCAGTAGGTCAGGAGTAAGTCCCCAAAATTTGCATTTCTAACAAGTTCCAGGTGATGCTGATGATGCTGGTCTGAGACCACCCTTTGAGCACAACAGGCTCTGTAAGAACAAAGACAAGCTTTGAGGACTCAGAGCGGGAGAGGTCTGGGGAGACCGCACACTGAGAAAGGCCCTGAAGACCTGGTAGAATTTCCCCAACAGGTGGAGAAAGGGAATGTGCGTGCTGCTTTTGCTGACCTACACATCCTAGGCCTCATAAAGCTCCTCCCTGCCCCCCAACAGCTCCTTTGAATTCAATCAAGGCTCAGAGCCGGCTGTCACTGGGGTTGGCTAGTCTGGGTCCTGCATTAGAAACAAACTGCCCACCCTGTGTGATAGGAGCCCCTCCCCCAGGGCAGCCGCAGTGGGAGGAAGCTGGGTGGGCTGATGTGCAGACAGAAATAGTCTGAGCTCACCGCTGCTCCCAAGCACACATCGACCGGCAATTATTTCTTGTAAATTGCTTTCCCGGTTATGTTCAGAACATGTGTGTGTGCCTGCCTGAGAACAAACACTCAGAGGGCACAGGGCGGAGGAGCTAGCTGGAGAGTGGGCTCCGGATGAAGGAGAGCCTGAGTGTGAATCTTCAGCCCAGAATCAGAGAATGTTGAATCTTGGAACTCAGAAACGTTAGAACATTCCACTCCCCTTTACAGCTCTCCTGCTAGGTGTTTTTCCTCAGACGTTCACATTTGTTTGTCCATTCAATATTGATTGACAATGATTTTCTGCCAGAATCTTGGCTAAATGATCCCTATCTTCAAGAAGCTCATGGCTACAGGCATTTACAGAAGATCCCTAATCCAGCCAAAGACTTTGGGAAGGCCTCCTGGTGTAAGCAATTACTGGTTAAAAAGGACTCACTGACAGGTGAAAGGAGGTCTCTGGTACAAGATAAGTAACAGCATACCCAAAGACCCATGGCTAAGAGAGACCATATGGTTCTTTCAGGTAACAATAAGTAGTTCAGTCTGGGTAGACACTAGATTCAAGGTGGGAACGGTGAGAGATGAAGCTGGAAGGGTAGATAAGCCAAGTCCTGAAGCCTTTACCATATTAAGGGGCTTGGTCTTTATCCCGAGGGCAAAAGGGAGCCACAGGAAAGGGTTTCAAGCATGGAAAGGAACTCAACAACACCTTTTCTGAGCACTTGCTCCCTGTTCTCTGTAACACTGAAGCGAAATTTGCCATTCAGGATCTCTGCCTTTGGGGGCCTTTAGGTTGCAGATCCTTCAGAAGTCTAAAGGACAGTGATGGCTCATGTGTCCACAAGAAATGACTCAGGCCCTAGACATCTGTCCTCCGGTCAGGGGGAGGCCATTCTACTGCCTGACTTGTGACACTGCTCCTCCTGGTCTGTGCCTGTTGGCTCAGGGGCCAGGGCACAAGGCAGCCAAAGCCAGGCTGCAGGCCACAGCCCAGGAGAGCTCCATGCCTTGCTTAGTCCCAGAACCCTGGGTCCCACCTGGGAAGTCTCGTGTGTGGGACACTCACAGGGGTGTGAAGGGCTCCTTGCATACCTTCTCCATCCCTCACAGGATCAAGGCCACCCAGAGCAGATGACCCACTCCGAGAGAGTTGACTGAAGACACACTGTGGGCCCACCACTGTGACAAGCCCTTAGAATAGAATACGGCCAGGCATGGTGGCTCATGGCTATAATCCCAGCACTTTGGGAGGCTGAGGAGGGTGGACAACCTGAGGTCAGGAGTTCCAGACCAGCCTGGCCAACATGGTGAAACCCCATCTCTACTAAAAATACAAAAATTAGCCATGCATGGTGGCGGGTGCCTGTAATCCCAGCTACCCAGGAGGCTG